CCCGCCTGCGTTTTCCCGCGCCGCGCCCGCTGCCGCTGATGTCAGGTCTCCCATTCAACCCACTCCTGTCGCCGAGCGTATCCTTTTCCGCTCCACTCCACACTCCCTCCCCCCTTCCCCTCCCTCCCACCCACCATATCTGTCAGCTTGTTAAATATCATTATCTCAATAACAGTGATCAAAGGAAACCCCGTTATAGGTTACTGTCTTAATCTGTTCGATATCCTTCTTCCTTCCTTCGCCTCCCCTCCCTTCTGCCCGCGCCATTCCTCTGCACCGTCGAAAAAACTATCTCCCTTCTTTTGTGCCAGGACATTTTTAGAGCCCAAGTTCTCAAGTCAGTCATTTCGATTCTCCACTAGTTTGCTCTTCGACTCTGTTTTATATTCAGGGTGTTTTCTTAATGATCTCTTTCTTAAATTTTTAATTTTCGAGCCCCTCAAAAATGTCTCGATTTTTTCAATCGCCCCCCAGTAAACGTCAACAATTTTTCCCCACTCTGGCTCCACATTCTGGTAGCGTTATTAGGGGTAGGTTTTAGTCGACTGACGAATCTTGTACTACATACTTAGTCTATGTGCGTATTGAAGCAGTGTGACACACTCCGATCAACGAGTCTGACGCTCGATTTTCCCATGATATTTCAAAATGCATGAAATAAAGTCATTTTTTGAATAAGGAATCACAATTTTTAGCTCATTTTCGAAACAACTTATGTACAATTGGCCTCTCTATACGGATGGGTCAGAAATTTTAGTTCCTAGTTGCAAAATTGAACCCGGTGCCTTTTTGCTCTGAAATACTGTATTATACGCGGATTGTCGATTTAACTTTTAGCCACTGACTCGGAAAGATCAGAGAAAATTACACTGCAAAAAAAATGTTACGGGCTATAAAGACATACCGTCCGTTCTGAGCTCTAAGTCCGAAAGTTGCGGATGCCGGAGCCTTAGCTTCGATTGCTCCCGGTGATACGCCCGGAACTTTCAGCCTCTGAGCCCGGAAGGCGGACGGTATGTCTGTATAGTCCGTAAATACGGCTTCCACAGCCGGAGTTTTTTTTTAGCGTACAAGAAGGATCTAGAAATTTCCGGTTGCTATATAGTAAAGTGTCTAAAGGGGTATATTTTGTCCGTCTCAATGGAGATGTTGCATGTGTGAGGGATTTGCGATTTGACCATTGATTCCTATGTAAAAGTTCGTGAGAAACACGATGGCGCCATTGGTTTTCTCTGAAATCATCTCCCAAGCTCAAAAAAGCTCTCAAAGTGAGGCCAAAATGGAGGGAATATCCCACGCTATCTTGAAAGTCCACGTCTACATCATGACAAACTGTCCATAGGGAGTAAATACATTGACAGGGCTGTCACTTTGCTTGAGGACTCCAAAACTGAAAACACGGCAACCCTGCCAATGTATTTGCTCCCTATCTTTGCATGGAGAGTTTGTTTTGATGTAGAGGTGGACTCTCAGGGTAGGGTGGGATATCCCCTCCATTTTGGCCTCACTTCGGGAGCTTTTTTTGAGCTTGGGAGTTGATTTCAAAGAAAACCAGTGGCTGCACCATCGTGTTTCTCGCGAAATTTTACATAAGAATCGATGGTCAAATCGCAAATCCCTCACACATGCAACATCTCCATTCCCTCAGTTGTAAGAGTGACACATTCACTCGTGATGTTTGGTCGTCCACAGCTCAACCCAAGCTCCGCGGGCTTAATCTCCGAGTTTCCGGGTTGGCCTCCTCCTGGTGGCGACTTTTAAGCTGAGGCAGGAGTCTTGATTGAAGTTGGCTGAGCTATTAATATTACAGTGGGCTCTGACAATGGGCGCGGCTGTTTGCCTTGGCGGGCGTCGCGCGGGCGTCTTCCTCTTCGGGCGGGCGCGAGTGCGGGTTTGCTTTGAGTACGCCTCGCGAGGTGTATGGGTCCCCAGGGGCCCGCCCGCGTTGAGCGCCAGGCCCTTCCCGCTGCTGCCGGATCAAAACCAAATGCAAATCTCTAAAATCACCCATGAAAATTATGAGGTTGGGCCGTCCCTAAATTACGTAACGCTTTTAGGGAAGGGGGGGGGGTTGAGGAGAGTGTTCACTGAAAACAAAATATCGGTGTGTTTACTAAGAAAAGGGTAAAATTACCAAGAATTCAGGGTTCTATTTGATCCCAGTTTTTTCTTGGTAAAATTACCAATTATGGAATTGGTAATTTTACCGAGAATCTCGGTAAAATTATTGAACTTTCTCGGTAATTTTACTGGACCTTGGTAAAAACGCCAATATTTTTTATCGACTGTGGTAGAATTACCGAGATAAAATGGCAAAGTTACCGGGAATTGATTACCAATAAAAATGGTATTCTTACCTGAAAAAAAGTAAAAATACCGGTTTGTGGGTAAGTTAGCAAGTCTGTCTTGGTAAAATTACCAATAATTTGTGAAAAAAAGTTAGATGGTAAAGGACCGTGGTAAAAACGCCGAGAATTTTTTTTCAGTGTTACACCATTTTGTTTTTATGTGTTAAAGGATACTGACCCACGTCACATAAGCGTTACAAGAGGAAGGGGGTCAAAAATGCCGAAAAAGCGAGTTACGTAATTTGAATCAGTGAGATCGAAAACACACCAACTCGGAACAATGAATATAATCAAGACACACTCAAAACTGCACAGTAGGTAAAGAAATTAGTTTAAGAAAAACATTTTTGCTGCCGAAAGACGAGTTATGGACATTTGCAAGGTCCGGAAATTGAGAATTTTCGAGTTACCGAGTTGGTGTGTTTTCGTTCTCACTGATTTAATTTGGGGACGGTCCCATGAAATGTAACAAGAGGATAGACACATGCGTCGGGTCCGTTTTAATCTACCCATGAAGCAGAGTTTTCAAAAGTATGAATTCGATTGTGATAAACGGCAATTTATCAAAATCTTTCATTTGTCACAATTTAGAAAGAGCTCGGTGCGACTTACTACGTAGAATTCTTTATGAAGGCATTTCAACGCGCCGCGCCGTTGCGCCTTCATCGAAGGTGTGCTGTGACTCCGAGCAACTATTTTAACTTTCCGGTAGTCAAATTGCCTATGCGACGATTTGAAGGAATTTTCAACGAATCCGGTGCGACCTTCAACTATGAATCGTTAATGAGGGCATCGCGCAGCGACGACGCGCCTTTGTCGAAGATGGATAAGTGTAAAATCGAAAAACCGCAGATCAAAATCTCTGAGAAATATGTCCGACCGAAATCTAAGAACCTCTTATAACAGTTTGGGTCATAGGAAATGCAGGCTTTAAGAACCCACTTCGAGCAACTATTTTAACTCTTCGTGGACAATGTGGCAGAGTGTCGTCGAGTATGCATTTCCTACGATCCGAACTACCACTAAGGTCACTATCTGCGATTTTTCAATTTTAAACTTATCCATGAGAATATTCAAACTAGTATGTCACTAAACGCCGCCGGGACACACTTTCAATATGACGTTTTTGAGAGGAATAGACTGATTTTCTACAGGTAAATGAATATCAAATATATCGTTTATAAAACAAGCAGAGGTAATAATTTTGTCCTTTTTGGATCAACTAGGTCCGTTTCTCCATCCTTTCTCAGCCTTTTAGTTCGGTTCCTTTCTTGATGCCCAAAATAATTCAAATTGAAATATATAAAGGAGCTAACTGAAGAAAGTCTTGGCAAAAAGATACAAAATGTCTTGGGTTGTAGCTGGAGAATTTGCACGCATTTTTTTTATTGCTTCATCTGAAAGTGCCTAATGAGCTGAGTTCGCAATATATTTCATAATTTTTTTCTGACATGGGAAATTGGAGAAAAATTGATTTAAAAGTGAGAAAATGTGCCGCCTTGTGACGTCATCTGGCGGCATTTCCCATTTAAACACATGTATTCTAGCAGAATCGGTTATTTTGTCATATCTCCTCTAATAATTGCTCAATTTATGAATCAAGGGTATCTTCGTGTTCAGTTCACTCAAAGGATTCCACTTGAACAGGAAATTCATCAAATTTCAGACCCTTGCAAATTCTCCATTATCAGCTCGTTCCAACCGAAACTCTGGAAGTTAAAATTCATTTAAACGAAAACATGTTGAATATTGATAGAGGATCTAACGAATGTACGGAATATATTTCAATCTATATTTCTCTTCTTCCGTTTTTTCCTAATCGTTTCACTCTTTATTTTTGGCAAAGAAAATTTAAAATCTAATACAATCTTAACGTTAATAAAATGCACAATGGTAGTGAACTTGATTTCTCTCTCGTAAAATCGACGGGAATAATTTTGATTTAAAGGTGCATGGTATGGCAACGGAGATGCTGTTGAGGGTAAAACTGCGGAGTCGGTGTTGTACGACGTGTGTGAACGCTTCACAACGCGCGACTCACGCAAATCGCAGACTTTTTGACAGGTCGCCTATAAATATTTTATGACGTCAGCAAGCGCCGAGTCCCCCGTTAATCCTTTCAATTATCATTATTTGTTCTCGTTCGCCCAACTTTTTGACCTTTCCTCCGAGCTTTCCTCCCCCTCCTGTCCGCGAGCGCACCCTTTCCAAGTCGCGGCAAGGAGCCGTAAATTTTCTTTGACGCGTCTTGCCGACCAACTCCAAACTCTAAGAAACACAGAGGCCATATTAAAAGCACATCGTGCAATATCCCTCGAATTTTATACGGGAAAGTATAGGTAAGTGTTCTGTAACGTTAAAATATATTTGGTTTCTTTGTGCCGAGAATTTCTTGGGTTAGCTTTTTTGCGCATATCCTGTTGCCTTTTCAGACTAATTTTTTAAGCACTTTTATTCTCTTTTAATGAAACTATTATAGTTTCATTCACATTACCTCCAGATATGAGGGAAAGCACCAAATTAAGTAAATATTCGGGAGATATTTTTGAATAATTCATTACGCGACGATTTTTTCTTTGAGCAAATAACCATTGCTGCACGCACAATATTTTGAGGTATACCTCGTAAAATGAAGTTGCAATGCAGTTTTTAACTTCTCGTAATCTCCCGAGTTCAAATCAAGTTCTAATTTTTATGCCGTGAAAAAGCGAATTGTATTTTAAGTTCCGAAACTCTTTGGGAAGTCATGCCCGGTTTTGTCTCATCAACCATCAACACCATTGGACACTATTCCTAACAGATTCGACCAATCAAACCCGTCAGTTTTCCATGGATCGAACCTTTCTTAGGACCACCGCGCGAGGCGGTACCAAAATAACGCTCCAACGTTGCGATTCATAAGTCACCGAATCAGAAGTACCGAACTCAAAATGGACGTATTTATGCCAAATGGTACTATCTGCATTAAGACACCAGCCCTGAGACCCATAAGAATATATGCATAACGGGGCTCACGTCATAACGCACACAGTTCCGTTCGGCAGAAATACGTCCAAATAAAATGGCAGTCGGGAGGTTCGCGCGTAAAACTAGTACCGAACCTCTGAATAAAGTCCGCTTAAACGCCACTGCGCTCGACATCGACCGAACATATGGACGGCTTCAGAGCCGCTCAAAACAGGACCTTCACCGAGTGAAATATGAAACTCCCGACTTTCAAAGTCGGCAGTTTTCCACTCCGCCTTAAATCAGGAAACGACGGAGAAATCCGAAAGAATCATAGGTGTCTTGAAACAATGATATAACCATACACAAATGAATTTTGTAATGAAGAATCCCAATATTTTTGACATCCCCATAGTCAACTGCATATTGTATATAACCCTCTTATCTGCTCGTTCATTAACAACAGAATATATTGTTCATGAACAACAGCATATATTGTGTATGAACAACGAAAGTTAACCAACAGCCCCACACTGCAGTATACCTTGCTTATAAACTAGTTTGCAGCTAGTTCATAAACAAGTGGATTTATTGCCCATGAACCACTGCAAAAGTTGCTTGCGAAATTGGCATAAAACAATCAATCATGTATTCATTACATGCAATCTTATTAATCTTATTATCATTTGTAAATTTTTGAACATCTCGAATTGTAAATTGTGTTAAGAATATAGCAGTTATTGACAGTAAATTGGTAAAATTGGTAAAATGTTTTATTACATGTGAATATTGTAAGATTTATTAGTACGGTGAAACATTTGTTACTTTTTAAAATATTTAAATATACAATTTGTAATTAATTTCATTTTTTGATTTATATAAGTTAATTTTTACAATAATGAGAAAAAAATGTAAAAGAGCATGAATCTTCTCGCAATTTATTTCAGCATTGTAAATGCTAAAGACACATTTAATTTTTCCCGTGGGACTAGTTGACTTGCTTATCAATCATTGCTTTTTCCTGGAGGATAGGAGAGCTTCTTCTTCTTTACGTCGAGCCAACCGAGATGAGGTAGTGCGCAGCCGATCAAGAACCCCAATCTTTTGGGTTGCAGATTGCGTTAACGGGGAATCCTGGAAAAGAAATATACCACGTGTGCTATAACTAAACACATACATGAGGAAATCGGGCAGTCTTAATAAAAAAATTTAGGCACTGAAATATCTTTTTTAGTGTATAAGTATGTTAGAAGGTAGGTACCTCGTTCTTAGAAGAAGCTGCGACACAAGTGGGTTGGGTTTTTGAACTTTCATCCTCGGCCTCACTCTCGTTCTGTAATTAAGGGTAAAATAAAAACACAATGACAGTTAGAGAAATAATTGCATCAAAAGGACAATTTTTCCGTCAGGACATAACAATACAATGAAATAAAAAATACAAGTAGGTGGGGAATAGGAAAAACCCATTTTGACCAACATGAATTAGGAGAGACAGACATATCGTAGAGAAAACCCAGAAACATATAAACCGTTTATGGGTAGAAGAAAATTTACCGTATGACAGGTTACCGCTTCGTCCAAAAGCTCATTAATGAGGCGGTGGCAGACCTCCAGATCGTCAGCAGAGCCCTGGTAGAATTAAAAAGAATTTATATTTTTTTTTTTTCATTATGCCTATAGGCACAACCAGTATTTTAATGTTGCCTTTGTGGGAAGCTAAAAACATACCTATAACTAACTATATAAAATTCCTTTGAAGAGGATGTATAAAAAAATAATACTTATACTTTATCAGTAGCATAAAACTTACCACTTTAGCGTTTGTTTCTCGCGGATACAACAACCAACCCTTACTGATTGGCCAGTTGTCAGGATGGTATTTGACACGGAGTTTTTTGTCACCAACATGTTTGGTTAAGAGCCCGGCAGGTTGGTTGGCATCTCCGGATACCCGTCTTTTGTTTTCCTATAAAAATCCTCTAGCATGCTGGATTCTAATGCTGACTCCATTGCATAAAGGTTCCACTCTGCGGTGCACATACCACTGTCACCTTCTGAAATAGCGGCGGTCGGGTTGGGCGCATTTCCTGTAATGTGTGAAAGCAAGGGTAAGTATGAACAAATTTATATGTGGAGGGACCCCAACTCCAGGTTCTTCATTTACATGCAGTTAATCAGAAAACACCCCTGCCGCATGCAAGTGCCCCTCCGAACCACCTACTCTAAAAATCAATCCCCCTATGGGATGAAAGTTGTTCCCTGTAAATAAACAAGCTTACTCCTTGTTTATGAACAAGTTCGATCATAGACTACCCAAGTATGCCTAGTTAGGAAGTAAAGTGAGCGAAGAATGTGCCGCTTAGGGGAAAAGCGACATCAGAGAAAACACCCTATGGGTGATATTCTACATTTCTTAATGGTCTTTATTAATTACCTTCATCAGAGTTCACATTTGCGTGCTGCTCATCGCTGTGCTGCGGGTTAGGCAAAGGTCCCGTTGGTTGTGTGGGTGATGAATTACCTTCATCATGCGGGTTAGGCGAAGGTCCCGTTGGTTCCGTGGGTGGAGTCTTCTCTGTAAGAAAATATGAAAGGTACGTCAGGTATGGGCAAATTCATATTACGAGGTAAACTATGTATATAAGTTTTCTTTTAATGTTCCACTTCATAGACCTATTTAGGAAGTAACATGAACGAAGAAGAAGGCGGGAAGGAATAAAAAGAAAAAATTATAACCTCTGTTCCTTTGGAAGCGCTTTTTTGGCGGCCGGAGGATATTATATCTTCTTCTTCATGAGCCTTATTTGGCTCATCCTCTTATCGTTGCTGTTTACCTTGATCAGAGCTCACATTTGCGTTCTGCTCATTATCATCGCTGTGATGCGGATTAGGCGTAGGTCCCGTTTGTTCCGTGGGTGGAGTCTTCTCTGTAAAAAAAGTATGAAAGGTACGTCAGGTATGAGCAAAATCATATTTCGAGGTGTACACTGTATATATAAGGTTTTTTTTTTATTTTCCACTTCATAGACTAGGGTGTAGGCATTTCTGAAATCAAGTACAAGAAAGTTACAAGAAGTACAAGAAGACCCCTCTATTATAGAGTAACCGTGAACGAGGTAGAAGGGGCAGAGGCATAAGGTTCGCGCGTAAAAGTAGCACCGAGCCTCCAAATAAAATTCGCCTAAACGCCACTGCGTTCGTCATCGACCGAACATGGACGGCTTCAGAGCCGCTCAAAACAGGGCCCTTACCGAATGAAATATGAAACTCCGGACGACTTTCAAAGTCGGCAGTTTTCCACTCCGCCTTAAATCAGGAAACGACGGGGAAATCCGAAAGAAATGGAGCATCTTTATGTAGATCCGCTGTTTTAGAGTGATGATATTTTATTTATGCGTTTTTTTCATCTCCGGATTTTCGTCTCACTTTTCAGAGCGGGCGGGGCCGGCGGAGGGCTCCGACGGTAATGATAATGATTATTATAATGACGTCGGCAGAGAGGAAGGATGCTAGGGCACTTGGAGTTAAGTGATGTTGCTAGGCTCTCATTTATAATGCAAGATGTTTCATTTAGAATACATGCTTCTTTGTGTGCGCCCAGAGCCCTCAGTATCCACCCAAAATATGGAATACATTTAGCTCATGAAAAACTCAATCCTCGGTCCTATGCCTCCTTTCCTCTTCTCTTTATTTACTTTCTCACTTATTATTTTTCCGACTTCCTTCCTCCTTTCCCTATTCTCCTATTTTGTTTCCTCTCCGGTATTCCTCTGAACACCTTCGAGCCTCGCTTTTTATGGGCTTTCTTTATAGTTGCTTTCAACATCCTTCAACTGGTGGGCGGCCCATTAATGTGACTGGAGGGAAGGAGAGTTATGACGAAGCCTCGAGCACAGTGCCGGAAATGGGTCAGTCATAAGTGTCATGGAATGATTAAATTTTGAGGTACTCAAAATTCCCTCCGTCAAAAATATCATTGAATCTCCGTCGTCAATTATTTTGTTAAAAGTTTTTACGATAGACGTTACAGAATTATACTTTCCTACAAAAGAAGTTTTATAATACAATTAAATGAGTCAATGGCGCAAGTTAGAGAAGGATATTTCAATAGTTTCTTCTAATTGATTAGAAATATTCGAAAACCAAAATTGAAAACATGATGGGTAATTTCACTTATTCCTATTGATGCCTCCTTCAGTTTCTTCGACCGTAATGATCTCGATACGTGCATATGTAAAACAGCCACTGTAATGCCCCCCCCCCCCTTTTTTTTTCATCTCCTACTGAATTGATGAAGGTGAAAGAAACCAAGCTATGCTCAAAATGCGATGGACAGTGTCATTCGCGGCTTTTTAGAAATGTGACCTCTCTGTCGAATGGAGCGAATGAATGATTTGAGAATGTATGGATTAAGTTGAATAATGAAATCAAGCGATTGAAAACACGATTTTTTAGCACGCGTATTTGACACAGAAGAAAACGTGACTTACATAGAGTATAATAAATAATAATCACATAATTAATCTCTGGAGTTCCCGCCAAAACCCTATCATCATTGCGTAGCGAAATGCATACAATGAAATTAACGAAACTGAGTTCAAGCGCCGTGTTTCGTCAGCTTTGATAACGCGATTTAGTATTGTGATTTCCCCGACGGAGGCTCGTCTCAGTTTGTTTCGGTTATGAAAATTATTTTTTAAATTAAACAGTGATACTTTACATATCAAAGTCAGTTACGAAGTTGTTTCTCTCATGCATCCATGAATATTGTTTGCTATTTACATTCGTGAAACTGCGGAAATATGCTATCCAACCCATAAAATAGGTAGACTGTAAGATTTTTTTTCATTTTTCCACAAATTGTCATCGCCTTATTAAAGCTTTTTAGTGCGACGCTTTTGGGAAGAGTATTATCTAAGCACAAAGAGGAAACGGAATTGTCATCAGGAAAACGAAAAAAACGAAACGAAAATGAACGAGGAAACGAAAATTAAATTAAGAAAAAATAAAAACTTATTGCACAAACAAACTTCACAATTTCATTTAAAAATTGATGTGATTCATTATCATTAACTTCTAATTTGTTGATAAAAGCGACAAACTGCGCCGAAAAATTCAAAATTGATTCTACTGAAACTGAACATTGGAAAAAAAACACATTGAATCTAGAGTCCAGACTCTTAAAAACATCGACAAGAAAAAGTACTCTTGATTCAATCAGAATCTAGCTTAAATCAAGAACCAAGCCTCTTACTTTAAGCGGATTTCGTTTTGATTCAAGCAAAAATCCGATTGAATCATGAGTATTTTTTCTCTTCAATGTTTTCAAGAGTCTGGACTCTAGATCCAATGTGTTTTTTTTTTTTTTCCAGTGAATTGGTTGATTTTGCTAACACCCTAAAATTAGCGATTCTCATTGATTTTACATAAACGTATGAAATGGTTAAATAACCAAATGAATAAACAAGTTTGTAAAAACAAAAACAAAAAAACAGTAATTTTGAAATATGGCAACACTGATTTTCCTCAATTTAAATCCTTTAAAAATATAGCTATCAGGGTGACACGAGCTGCCTCACCAAGAATCGATTATTTTTCATACATTTGAATGGAGGAAAAACAGGGTTGCCAACTTTTAAAAAGCGCCACTGCACAGAACTACTGCTTTGTAGGATTGAGTTATGGATTATATTTTACGGGTGCATTCACAATTCAAAATCCGACTTCAATTAAAATCAACATACCATGCATGTTGTACAAGTCATTAAGAGAAACTTCCCAGAAAGCAGGAACTAGAGTCTCTCCGGATTGTTTTTGATAAAATATAACCTTCATTGATTAAGATTGAGATCCACTGTCCATCGGTCGGTAATCAGCAAAATCTCAAGGTATAGACCAATAGTCGACTTGCTTCTATTCTGTCTCTTTCTTGCCTGTTTCCATGAAAAATACCACTATTTACGTAAAATAGTTGTAAAATTTCGATATCATTAAAATTATTCTCTATCCTATTCTCAACCGAACTGCATTTATGATCAATAATTGAAAAATCCTTTTGTCACTATGTGTTTGAATTAGTTGCAAAAGAACAGAAATTATAATGGATCACAATTATGCGGCAATGAAACGAGACTTTATCCCTGTATTTTTTGACTTGGAAAGAACTGGTCACTACGATTGGGATGAGATATTACGGATTGGAGCTATCCATAAGGACAACATTTTCTGCAGGTATTTCGCATGATAATTTGTTCAAACACGAATACTTAATACCAGTAGCAGTTTTAAAGCCGTTTTCTGATGTCAGTGTTAAGGGCTGTTCGATGGACAGAACTCGCAAAATGCACTATCATTAGAGCAACGGCTGATTCAATCATTGGAAAAAGAATTCAAATAGTAACGCCCATCTCATGAAATCTCGTTAGAGCGAGCAAAAAAATCCAAGCTTTTTCAATAAAGCATAACTTTTCAAGGATCACCATTTCAAAATGGCATGAGGTGAAAGTTCTGAAGTATTCAGAGAGCCCCTTTTTGAAACGGTGATAGACACAGACCTGCGGTTTTTGCAAAAAGTCTCAGCATTTTTTGCTATTTTCAAAATATGTCAAAGATTTCCATGCGATGAGAATTGCATTTTGAAAATCTCAATGATGCATCGTAAGATGCCGAAAAAGAGCAAGATAAAAGAAGAGACTCATACGGAGACATGACAGAAGACAAAGGTATATTGGGAAATGATAACAGGGTACCTGTCAGGGCCTAGAATCCCCTGCCTACACATTCTACCAACCTATGAACTAACGAACTAACGATCCAACAATCAATTTCACACCCAACTCCCTGAAAAAGCGCAGAGAAGGGCGAAGGGGGTCGCGGTTATAGATACATTTTTAATGCATGACATAGCAGTCCCAATCGAAACATTGTAATTAATTAATTTAAAAAATTATAACTCGCTGCGCGCTACTTTTGCCTATCCTGGTATGGATAAAAAGGCAAGGCCCCCCGCCCTGTCCAAAATCGTAACCTTTCATTTAATTCTCAGTTTTTTTTTACAATTGTAGATACATACTACCGACGACTGAGATCCCACCATATGTCTCAGAATTGACAAGATTCACTAAAAATGGCGAACAACTGCTCCATCGTGGTGAGGTCAAAGAGACGACAACTCTGAAGGAGGCGCTAGAGAATTTGCTGGAGTATCTGGAACAATTCAACAAGCCAGTTATCATGATCGGGCACAATTGTTTCACTTTCGATTGTCGTTTTATTCTCAGGGGCTTGAGGCAGTACGGTCTTTTGAGTCAATTTACTAGGATAGTTCAGGGTTTCACCGACTCATTACCTCTGTTAAAAAAGTATCTACCTGGTAAACCCTCGTACTATCTCAAGCTACTAGCCGTCGATATCCTAGGTCCAAACTTGGATTTTGTGACGCATGTGACTGATAATGATGCTATCATTCTCGTTTCCATTTTCCGAAAAGAGAAAATAAAACGCATTCAGATCTTCGAATTTGCCCGTTCTGTTAAAGATGTGGTGCGTACGACTTATTTTACTTACTTTTTTTTACTAATGTTACATTATCAAATGACGAACATTAAAACTAGTCATTGACGAACCCACTGAACCTCCGGGCAAGGGAATTCATTTAAAAGCCTAATGAATTTTCTCGCATAAAAATTCCAAGTATAACAAAATGGATACTTTATATGACGATATTTAGGTCACGCACCGCCCCATAACTCTCGAACACTTTAAGATGAACGTGTTTGGAGAGAACTTATTGGTAAAAGAAAACCAATTTTGGGACCTAGCAAACTTGTGGAAGTGGTACATTAAGAGGAGGAGCACGAGCCTTAACTTATTTTAAAATAGTGAATCCCTCACTTATAACACATTATTTGAAAGAAAATGAGAAGGCGGACTTCGGGTCTAAATTGCAATTTTCCATCTATCACCTTTTCAAAACGGTGGTCATTCTAAATTATGCAAATTTCGACTTAATGGGCAATCATCTTGGATTAGTGATTGAATGTAATTTCTGCTTTCCGCTAAAAGTTTTACTTTTTATCCTATTTTTAATGATGTATCATTGATTGGGGGTTTCGGGAGAAACAGGTTGTAACCAGATCCCCACAAATTTTTACTCTCATTAAATGCTGCTTCTTTGAAAGTTATAAGAGGGAACGAAGTTAAAATCGATGAAAAGCAATGAACAGCACCTGAACTAGTGATTCAACGAAATTTTGTTGCAAAACCATGCCACGCTCTTTTCAAAGTTGATCAAAATTCTAAACTTTCAAATTTTCTTGCAGCTTGGATTTAAGAAAAAACTCGTTCAAATATTAACCAGACTCACTTTTTTCTCTGCAAATCTGATTTACAGCTGAAAAAAGAGGATGGTCGTATAATTGCAAAGAAAAATCTGCTGGTTCGGAAAGCTTTACAGCTGCTCATCACCACTGGCTCTAAGCTGACAAAAATGGTTGAAGAAGGACAAAACATCGAGAGTTTGAAGGAATTTCTAGAAGCAGAAGCTCCGGAGGGTCCATTACTGGACACGGTTTCTACTTCCCCAAAATTTTAAGAGATAGCCATTCTCATGTCTTGCAAATTAAAAGAATTTTAACGGAAATCTATAATTTTCAGTTTTGCGTTTTCTGCTTTCATTTTTTCAGGCAGTCATGACTCTTCCAAGTTTACTCTATTATTTCAAACCTTATAGACTTTTGTTACTCTTGCATCGTTTCTGCGTAAATTAATTCTACGAGCAACGCGCAGGTATACCAAGCTACTTAGCTGAGAGCTTCAGTTGCATTCTTATTTATTGTGCTTGCTTTTATTAATGCGGTCGTTTCTGTTCACTTTATTTCCCTAAGGATTATAATCACTCCCATCAAAAATAGCCAAAGCCACTCTGTCAACCCCATGCTGATCGATCTCCGGACGCAGTAGAGGCTAACGAAACATGTTACCCGGTATATCGTCCCATTCGGATAGTACGGTAGAAAATCAAAATTTTCAAATTATGGTGAAAGGATTTCGGCCAAATTATCAGCCCCCAGCCAGACATGCGTTAACTAATACTCACGCCCGTAAAATGTTAGGTGAAAATAAAGAAGTCATCAGAGAACAAGTAATACGTAGCTTGAACTTAGTTCAAATTATTGCAAAATTATTTTACACAGTCTCATATTATTGTTATGGCCAAAATTTTGGCTGCTGGATGCAAGACTTCAGATTATTTTTGAACCGTCAAAAGCAATTTACTTCATCCAAAAAATTAAGGAAAGAATCGTCGTGTGTGAATGAAGTTGTTTGCAAAAATAAAAACTTATTGCCGTTCTGTATGGAAGCCCAAAGAAGATTTTCTTATTCACGCTCTAGATATTTCTTTTCTGTTTCGGGCTCAGTAAGTACACCCACGTTCGAAGGAAACGAATTCCTGGAGGCAAGTCTCCGTCTTCCCCCTTTCTCAAACCAGAGACGGAATCAATTATTCACCGGTAAAAAGTCTTGGACTACTCCCTGTTTGCGGCGCTTATTCCGAGGGCTTTTAGATGAGATAATGGGTCAACGGTAGGGTTGCTGGGGTCCTACTTGTTGACCCGGCGGCGCGGCGAGGCGCGAGTCCCCAGGGCCCTGTGACATTATTTGCCTTCTGATTAGCCGTCATCCCTTACGTTGTGCCCCCCCTTCCCGGCCCCTCGGGACCCTCGCCTCCGCCGACGTGCCTGGCTTTTTGCCTATCCTTTTTTTCACCTCTCATTCCCGCAATAAGTGGCAGAAATACCAACCGGAAGCCACACTAATTCTTTGTGTCTTGAAGAAGTTCTCTGGAAAGCTTCACTGATTTACCTGTCTCCGTTCTACCTTTTTTTTATTTTGTTATTTTTATTCATCATTCCGATAAATACATGTTACAAAAATACATGGCTGACACTATTAAAACGTTGCCTCGTTTGGTAAAGTAGTAAATCTGTAACAATTTTTGATCATAACGATGAAAATCACATTCAGCTATTGGCACCCTACCCTAATTAGCATACTCTTACAGTGTATAACTAACAGTGACCAAAAATATATACACATCATATACATTATTATGTGATGCGCATATGTCTAACAAATAGGAATAGCGGCAACCGATTTGGTGTCTTTGTGTAAAAATGACATAATCCTTTTAAATTTAAAATCCATCACACATAAGTCTCACGTGTGACTAAGTATAAAATTTTTACTCCAATTTTCATTAATAGGTATATTTCTGGATTCATCGCCTTTTCATTCGAGAAATATATTCATTTTGAGTTCAAATACACTACCAATGGGCAAAAAAACATTACACTGATGACTACAATAATTATAATCCACCTTACTCCAATAATGCCTTTGACGCATTTCTCATGAATTAGAGACAAAAATGTTGAGGAATAAACGATTTATTCGAAGCGGAAAGTGAAAACCCTCTAAGTTCCGAAGGATTTTTATCACGAAAAATGAGTATACTTAAAGCTAGAAACTCGAGAGTTTATCGGCAACTTTTCAGGAAAGAGAGGGTTCCATGCACGAAAAAGCTATAGAAGGAGGCAAAAATGCTGCGTTTTCGTCGCAGTCATTTCATACAGTCGGTAACATACGTGGTATGCACGGTGGAGGAACCCACTGGGAAATATCAAGTGATCTTTTGTCAAAACATAAGAAGAGATTTACTCTGCCGACGCATCAAACATTTATAACAGTCCTTTTTGCCTTTGTTGCCAAACGAAGAAAGAAATGTCACTCGATAAAAGTTGGGTAAATATGCAGAACCACGGCTAAACGTGGTCCACAATTACGATGATACTGTTCGAATAAAAATTCAGTAAAGAAATTTCATAATTTACGTCGAACAAAAATGCCTTGAATATATTCATAACCAATAAAAGTATTCCATGTAAGCATTGAGCCGGCCCTCATCTGTGGAAGACAAAAAATTAGTTCGTGTTTTGGACCCTGTCCTCACAAGCGCAGGTAGGGCGAATTAGCTCCTTGAACTGATGGTTCGAGGAAGAAAGTAGGCATAGCCAAGTGATAAGTTCCTTAGTTCCTGGAACAAGTTCGCCTGAAGTTCCGTGACCTGCTATCGTGCAGACTAGGCATAAATTTTTGTGAAATTTTAGGGCCTGAGCAAATGGGGCTTTTGTTGAAACTTTGCGTCGGATTGTTTCTAAAAAACAGTGGAATCTAAAAGAGTAAATAAAAATTCATTTATACACAACTAGGGTATTTTTTTATCCTCTTTTCTATAAATGATCACAGTTTGAATGATTAAAATGGATTTAATTTACAAAAGATGGAAAAAGTAACAACTAATTTGGTATGGTCATGTCCAGAGAATGGCAGGAGACAGGTTGCCGAAGAAGGTCCTTGACTGGGTTCCTCCTGGGAGAAGACGCAGAGGGCGCCCAATGAAAGGTTGGAGGGAAGGGATTGAAGCGGAAATGTTAAGGTGCTCAATCCCCCATGATTTGTGGTTTGAAAGAGAGCAGTGGAGGTTAGGAGTCGTAGAGCGCGAGGGAGTGCTGTAAAGAGACTTATATGTATGTATGGAAAAAGTTAAACGTCTGCCACAAAATTACTTAGTGAACGAATCTAAACTACCCGCCTTCATTTGAAGGTGCAGGCAACACAAGATCCCAAGCGCGCGAAAAGTGGTATCCAATATCAACCGGTTGTTTTCAAAAGAGACAAGGAAAACTGGATGATGGATGCTGGAAAATTGCGGATAGTTCACATTAAGGTGCAAGAAAGGCAAAAGTATTCATACCTTTTACATATTTTTGTTCATTTATTTTCGTAGCAGGGTGGAAAAATGTAGTGAAATTTAAAATCATGAATCACGAGCATTTCCGAAATTTTTCAAAATTGTTATAATAAAATGGCAAATATATTTTTGCTGCCAAACGCTGCCAATATTGCTTCGATGTATCATTTTCCTTTTGCTCATCACTCATGCTTCATATATGAGACAAAGGATTAAAAATCCAGACAGGGGGAGGGGAAACCCGAATTTTTTTGCGTCTTTCAAAGTTTTCCACTGCGGGTTGCATACCATACCCATGAAATGCTTTATATTTTTCAAGACATGTACGTCTCGTGAAACTTCACGAAACATCCCACGAAAGTTTCTTTCGTTTCAGACCTCCTTCCTCGGTGCGGGTGAAAATGTTACAACGCTGTGCGTACCCTTCGTCGAGTTCATAAACAACCCTATCCCTGGTCGGCGTCACCCTCTGTCCATTTTTCTGCGATACAAGCTCTCTTTCTCCCGTTTCCTCATTCACATTTGTCATAATCCCACCGTCCCGATCCCTCCACCCCCGCCCCGCTCCGACACACTTTCGACGTCTTCGCCATGAATTTTGAATGAGGCCGCCGCCGAGGCCGAGGAAACTCCCTTCAGCTCCGCATCTCGCCCAGATTTTGAGGCCGCTGTTGACCATGTAATTTATTAGCATCCTCAGTCGCCTTTCACCATTCCAAATCACCCGTCCTGCCGGTCGATTATTGAAATTGATAGACAAAGCGATAGACAAAGAAGACGAAAAGGATATGGAGGGATCCTATTGGTGGAGGCAGATGGTTGCAATGGACAAAGGAGGTAGGTAATAGACTACCTAACGGCAACCCACGAGCGACCCGACAGTTAGCCTATCATTTTCTCCCTTAGTCTCTAAGAACCACCCATTTCAACCAATAGGATCGCTCCATACTCCCTATGTCTTCATTGTCTATAGCTTTGTCCATCAATTTCAGTAATCAGTCCGCTGGGGCTTAGTCGCCTCTTGCTTGAAGTGATCTTGCGGGCCGATTATTGAAACTGATAAACAAAGAAGACATGGGGAGTATGGAGCGATCCTATTGCTTGACATAATTGGTTCCTAGACTAAGGAAGAAAATGATGGACTAACTGTCGGGTCTTTGGTAGGTTGCCGTTAGTTAGTCCATTACCTACCTCCTATGCCCATTGCCACCACCCGCTTCCACCGATAGGATCCCTCCAAATCCCTTTTGTCGTCTTTGTCTATAGCTTTGTCTATCAGTTTCAATAATCGGCCCGCTGGGGACTCCTTTCGATAGCCCTGCAAATCATGCTAGGTGTCAATTTATGACAATTGTATGGCTTTGCCTACAACTTTTTAATGACTACTGTTATGTTACTTGTCCAATGAAGGCAGATACCAGATACTTCCATGAGAAAGAAAATTGTTGAAGATTCTTATCATAATGTTGCTACTGCTGCCCACAGCGTATTCCTAACATTAAGTTCTATAGACTAATGAGAACAGAATCGCCCTCCATAGGCAATGTGGATCCAAGGGAGCCACTATCACAAATGGACTACATTCAGCAATTTGTAACTACAGTTTCTGGCCTAATTCAAGAACAACATAAGCACCACTAGTTTTCCTATGACCATATGTAAGTTTCAACGAAAGTTACTCAACATCAATTTTTTAAAAACTTCCATGGTTCTCCGTGCAAGAAAAATCTGTGAATACTCCAAGGAATGATGTAGATTTGTTCTCCTTAGGAAAACAGTATATTTACAGCAGAGATTTTAAAACATCGCAAACGGGATGCGTGGTTATGGCAGTTCATCATTACGTTCTTTCTTGCTGTTAAACGTATGCAGCCTAAGTTGCTTCATCGAAGGTTCTGATTGAGATTGAATTAGCATTGAACATAACTTGTCAAGTAAATAAATGACAGGTATTCTCCAAATTTACATTTTCCCAATATGGTCCGTGTTCTGCATGAAATTCTGTTGAAGAATCACGTGTCGAAAAGCTTAAATTCTTAACTTGTTTAATGGTCCATTCAATCTAAAAAAGCGAACATAGAAAACTTTTCTAACTTTTCTCAGAAAAAATGTTGTATCGGGAGAAACAAGGCAACGTTGGACAGCTCATACGCCGTCGAAACTCAAAATGGGCCCTTCAAGCCCCATTTTTCGATGCCGCGATTACTTTAACGCGCCGAACACGGTGCGATCGGTGTCAGACTCATATCAGCGCCTGCAAGACTGTAGGAATACTTCACGCATTGCGCCAAACAGTGCGGTCGGCGTCAAACGCATATTAGCGCCTACACAACCGCATGAATACTTCTCGCATTGCACCAAATGCAATGCGGGAGTTATTTGCGACAACTACTCAACCACAGGTATAGGCTTATTGCCGCTCAAGGCAACACGTCAAGATTGTGAACTATTCTTGAATGGTAAAATTCACCGATGCCTTATATCATTCGAACTGCTGGTTGAGTCAAATGTATTAGAATTTGGGCATTAGACACCCCAACTCCGTTAAC